ATACTAAAGAGTTCGGAGCAACATGGTCGATTGCTCTTAAGGGGAAAATTCACTCTTCGGGCAATTTTTGATATTCCAGGGATTTTCAGAGCAAAACCTAGTATTTTTAAACAACAATCACTATCAACTAAAACTTATAGAATATAAAAACATGATGTGATTTGGAAACTACCACATTTTAATTGTCACTGTAACGGACAATGGCTCTCAAAGATTTGACATTTGTCTTGAAATATCAATTTTTTTTGATGTCAGAAATGAGACTGTTATAAATGAACTATTTCCTTCTAATGTAACATTTATCCTGTGCTTTGAATTTTAAGAACAAGCAAATCAATTTGAAGGGGAAAATATAAATGTGCACCTGGTTGTATAAGCGATGGAAAAGCTGTTTGTGCTGTTGCCTTGCAGCAGAAAAACTGCTGGCCTTTCTGAACGGAGTTTGCATATTCTTGTCATTCGTGTGTGGGTTCCCTCCATGCTCTCTGGCTTCCTGCCACAAGCCCAAAATATTCAGGTGTAGGTAAAGAAAGTGAAGATATCTCTTGTATATAGCACTCTTTGGTCACTCCACATGTTTATGCTCAAAAATTTCTATAGACTCTGGTGAGAACATCCACAGCTTCATTTTCTCCATATGACGGTTATTCTTTATCATTTGGAAATATGCTGAGCTGCATATTCGTGCAGTTGGAAGCACAGTTACATGGCAGCAAGAAGGTCCTGGGTGTGAAGCCTGGGCTTTTTCTGCTTGGAGTTTGCATGTTGTCCCTAGTCTGAACTGAAAGAGTGGATTCTCCAGCTTCCTCCCACACCAGCTCCCCACCACTCTGTAAGGGGTTCCAGACAATGGATGTAACCCATTGTCTGTTACAATGGACACTTGTAACAGACTATGGATTACAATTGTCCTTTACAATTCATCATCCTAATAGCATAATTGCCTAAGTGCTATTTTTTAAAATGGGACTTAGGCAATTGTGTTATTAGGCTGACAGAGTGTGATCCACTTGGCATCACAATAAATGATGCCAAAAAATGACTTTTCCCTTCTTTCTCAACTATCTAGTAGAAACCAACCACTAGCAAAATCCTCAGATTTATCGAAAGATAATAAGTTGTCATATTTTCCATCAGATCATTTCATCAAATCATTTTTTTTTTCATTTGTTTCAAAGAAAAGACCGTCTTTAATCATATTTATCTGGAGGAGTAAGAAATTTTGTCTCTTCTAAAACATTTTTTTACATTCTTCTCCTTATTGATACCATTTACAATGACATCATTTTGATCCTTTGAAGCTTGTTCACAAACTATAGTTTTAACTTAAGGATTAAAATAATTAAATGGAAACAAAATCTTTTCCAAACATTTTATCTGTTTCTCATTTTTGTCAGACTCACTGTAATTGATAACAGCTGTTAACTCACGAAGACCGACTCCTGAAATTGAATGAAATGCTCAGTTGAGTATTCGCTTAATAGTGTGGAACAACGTTTGATCAGCTTTTCCATTTTTTCTTATATTTTTTCCCCTTTGTAATTGTACAGGATACATGTTACAGTACATTAAAAGACAATTAAACGGTTGATCAAAGTCTCATTTTTTACATTTCCAAACTCTAGTGTATTTGCATTTTAAGAGCTACTGTGATTCAAAGACTCTTGTTTCTACATTCTGAATTATATATTGTTCTTTGGACTGGCAAACAGAGCGGTGAGATAATGTAGAAATGACACACAGCATGCCTGTAACTTACATTTTTATAGCGAATTTTATCTGAAGCAAGTGAAATTTCTCAGTGCTTAACTACCTCCTCTAACTCAAACAGAGTGCTTAAACAGCATGTGTAATTATACTACTCCATCCTGCTGTTATATTTCTTTGATGGCGTTTGTGCAGTACAGTTGTTTTCCCCCACCTCTCCCTGTCAAGCACTGCCCCTCTTGTGTATAGTGTTCATTGTATTAAATTTATAAACTGTACAGTTCTTCCTTGGACTTTCGAGCCAACAGCCTGTTGCCTACAATAAAATGTATTTTTCAAAAGTTGATGTGCAAATAAGTCTTCAAGATTTTCTTCTGTTTTCTTTTTTTGTTGTTTTTTTTTTTGTTTATCAAATAACCGCAGAGCAAGCCTGGGAAAAAAACAAAAATCGTCCAGTCAGTCAGAATCTGACTGCTTGCAATTTGTTGCAATGGTGTAGTTCTTCATTACCAATGAGCTCTGGAACATTCACTCAACAAGCTGCAATCAGAAACCCCACACAATCGATGTAATGAAGTCTGATTTGCTCCCCAGTTCATTTATTTCAATTAGCTTTGTTTCAGTCCTCAAGAGGAAAGGCGGTAAGAAGACAGATGGAAGGGACGTATTTGAAGATGAATGGTGAGAACAAACAGCCATGTCTGTAATGAAATGACTGAAGATAAGAAATGCTTTTGTGGCCTTGCCAGTGAAATTAGAAAGAGCTTTTAAGACTAGAGATCCTCATTTGAAGCCGACAAAAACACTTTGTCAGTCTCTTGCCAGTGCACAACACATGCATGTTTACATGCACACAAGCGCAGGCTTTGCTCTCTTGCCCCAAATCCTGGCACAAGTCAAAGCTTTCATGTCCTTTAAGAACCATTGTTCAAGGTTAGAATCAATGTCAAAGTAAAGGTTACCATGTTTTCTTTCTTGTTTTCACTCTCTTTGACTAAATTGAATTTAACTAGACTAAGCTCTTGGCCAGGAAAGGTCATCTGTTTCCACCACCGTTGAATAATAACAGCAGAAGCACAGAATGAATGGCAGTACGGTATTTCAACAATGCAATGCCCTTTTTTCTTATTCGAAAATATTGCTCCACCTCTCCTGTGACACTGCGGATTGAAAGTTTACAAATATATATTGTGTGGGAAATTCCCTGCCCAGATCTGTGCAGTGATATGTTCAATTATTTCAGAGAGCTGTAAAACTGTAATGAACTTACAATTAAGCTTTGCATTTTAAACACGTGCAGCCTGTGAAGTAAGAGGAGCCCTTCATCTCTCTGATCTGACGGTTCATTTCCATAAAAGCTTTGAGGGGCACTGTGAAATTGCTCTAATATGAGTAAATAAGCTTTTTGGACAAACACTTACTAGATACACAACATAAAGACGGAAAACTCTCCATGAATAAAGAGATTGATCATTACTCAATCTGTCCTAAAACAAGTGAAAGTGTTGTAGTAGTTGATTTGTTATTATTTTTGTTGTTGGTTCTGTTCAAAGTTATTTAAATATATATATATATATATATATATATATATATATATATATATATATATATATATTATATATATATCTACCCCCTTTCAGATCAGTTTCAAATCAAACATATCTCAGTGTCAGACAATGCTGAAGAAATACAAGCCATGTGAGGCCAGTGATACTTGAAAGGCACTTTTGACATTTACATTGACAAATAACTTATGGACATGTAATCCAAAAGCAATTTGTGTTTGAGAAATGAACATGTCATGGACATAAATAATAGTCTATCTTACCGAAGATTACAACTCTTTAGGGATCAAGAATAAGCAAGAATAAATATTCAAGACGCCTAATATGGCCTTGTAAAGATAAATGTTCCAATGTTCCCATTTACAACTGTGGAAAGAAGGCCAAGCAGAAACAGTGATGCATACCAAACACAAGACTGAGATACAAATCTTACTTCTGCCTAATACATCGCGTCTAACATTTTCGCAGAACATAAACTTACATACACATCTGAAATGTTTCCAGAGTCAAGTATTGATTAAAATGTTGCTCATATAAATCAGAATCTAACTCACCAGCACCAGAAGTTTTGTTGTCGTTAATCTCTCTTAGCACATTATTTAGCTAATCTGTACTGACAAGAACACAATCTAGAACAAAAGACACACTGTGTATAGTAAATGTGTAATCATTTTGATTTATTCCTTTTTCTCTTTTAAGATGTGAAGAAGATATAAAATTTATAATCACGAGGTAATAGACCTTTTCTCGGCAACCGGAAGCTGTATCTGAAAGGGCTGCGGCACTTCCTGTTTTGGTGACTGTAATTCAAGTATCCTGAAAATGGCTCTCCTCCTCCGGTCCTTTTCATCGTCCTTACGTAATTTTCCAGCCCTTTCTTTCGCTGATGCGGAGGAAATCGCAGCGGCTAATTCATCCACCAACAAACGTGTGAAAGGATACAAGTTCTTCCACAAAAAATATCTCCACCGCTATTAAGGTAAGAAAAGACGTAGCTTAGCGAGCTAACCGCTAGCTACAATATATGATCTACACAAACATCGTAATGAAGCTTAACTTAGTTTGCTAAATTACGTGGAATATTAGGGACAAATATAATTTAAACTTTTCAATTATATTTTGATTACATTCTGAAATGTATTTGCCAGTACAGTTTGTGAAAAACAGCATGCTAGAACTTAGTTATGAGATACTAAGTCCTTGACGCTTGATGTTGAAACTGTGCTTTACTCATGCATGCCTGTAGTGTCCAATATTGTCGAGGGACAGGTAGTTGTCAGTCAGAGTTAGATGCTTCAGATCCATGAAAAAAATGAGGAACCGCATAAGCTGCAGGTTTGAAACAGTCATAAAGCCGCTTGGCTCTTGTTCGGTAGTTCGAGTTCCTGATCATATGTGACAGATGAAGAACTTCCACGTACGACTTCTGGACAACTCAGAGCTTTTTCTAACATCTTCCTGTTCAGAGGGGACTATTTGTTTTCTGTTTTTGTTGCGGTTGCAACATAGTCTGTGTTTTTTTTCTGCTGTTGTTGAAGCTTACCTTCAAACTAGAATCTATTGTTTAAAGCTAAACATGCCATATGTATTGATGTATATATGTGTTACTAAAACAGTTTTCTATTTTACATATCACTGGGTGTTGGAAAAGAAAAGGCTGAATTACTGGATTATTCCTGTAGCTGTGCAGCTGGTAAAGGTCTTTGCAATCATGTAGTTGCACTTCTTTACCAGACTGCACACTACTCCCAACTCCAGCTGCCAACTGTTCCTCCTGCACAAGTGATTTACAAAGATGGCACAGACCAAGAACACAGGTAAGAAAAAAAGAGTAGAACACATTGTCCTATGGGATGTGATATATAAATATACTAGATATACTAAATTATATACATTGCATATACTGTCATACACATATGATCTTAAAATAACAGTACTATAGTTATGTACACAATTTATTCCTCCTTTGATTATGTCACACTGCCATTTACGTTCCTTTCCCACCTGTATTTTATAATCGCCATATAAAATTTGTTGTAATCTCAATATTACTTGTGTCAAATATAATTTCTCTCATAGTTTGTTTGGAATATTTCTTTTTTGTAGGCAATGGAAAAAAAACAGGCTCAACTGCTATCAATTAATTTATTTGCAAGTTGGGTAAAAATCTAAACTGCCAAATCAGTCCCATTGTGTCCTAACAAATTACTCACTCATCCATTTATTTGTTCTTTAGTTTGACATCTTTCTGTGTATTTCTTGTAAGGGGATACATCCTGAACCTGCCAGCAACATGGTGGTGCGGAAGCCCAAAACTATGGGGAAAAGATATCTGCACTCCACACTTTACAGAGCTTACACAGGTATAACATTTGGTTTATGTTTTTACACGTATGTTTCCTTTGTCAAAATTTATTATGATTATGTCACTGATGTTTGTAGGACCACTTCCAGATCCTGACATTCTGGCATCAGGAGAAAAACTACGCCAGCTGGAGTCCCAACCACTTATCGCTATTGTCCTAGATGGTCTTTCACATTTGGAGCTGGTTCCATCCAAATTTGGGCCTGTGCCACAGGGCTCACCAATGTCTTATCAGTGCCCACCTGAAAAGTCCTCTGGTAGCATCATTCTGCACAACATTGCTCCAGACTTCCCTTCTCTACCTTTGATGCTGCATAGTCTTCCAAATATGTGCTTTGTTCCCACACTTGGTCAACTTATGCATCTTCATTCTCTGCAAGTGTCACTGGAAATGTCTTATGTGCGCCCGGGCCCCGCGCATGCGCACAACCGCCCAGGCCCTTGCGGGTGGATGTGCCGTGTAGTCATGGTCCGCAGTAGCATCTTCAGCCTGGCAGCTTTCTGAGAGAGGACAAACTGCCGTTTCTTCGCCCTCTCGAAAGCAGACTCTCTCATTGCCGGTGCAGTGAAGTTATTCCAAGCAAACAGGGAAGGAACAGCTCCACTTTTAAGGCGGCTGGTGGTGGATCCGCTAACAAAATCCTCTGGTGTGAAGTGGCGGCTACATACGAAAGTGCTCCCTGTCTTTATGCAAAAGTCCGGACCTTCATCTCTTCGGATCGCCTGGATCCACTGCCTCCGTTGGTCCGGGTCCGTCGGGAACGCACGATATGACAGATAAGGCTGTTTTCTTGGCCCACATGAACAACCAGGGACTGAACAAAAACAACTGCGCCAAGACTGAGCCATTTTCCTAGTCTTTTAATGCTAACGCTATAGCCACCGGAAGTTGTCCAACCCCACATCCGCCTTCAAACCCAGAAGCGTGAAAAAGGTCTATAATACATTTGGTAATATATTGTCCATTGGACCTGGAAATATGCTGGAAAAATACATTTTGTACCAACATTCAAACATAATGTTGGTGTTATTGTCATAGGCTGCTTTGTTTCTGTAAGATCTGGAATACTTGTCATAGTTGAATTATCTCCCCCAAAAACCTAAAGGAAAATGCTTATAAATCTGTCTGTGACTTCAAGCTCAAGCAAGTTTAACTCTGAATTGCTTAGCCTATGTCTGGACTCCAGATATAAATTTGATTTAGATGCTGTGGTTATGCTGCATATTTTTTTCGCCATAAAAGTCTGAGAAGTCAAAGTGACCTATCCAATGATTAAAATTTGAATAATTATTTTTAAGTCAGTCCTAATAGAATAAAGATATATTTTTAGTGAACAATTGAGAAAAAAATTACAAGATAAATGCTGAATTGACAAGCACTTTTCTAATAATAATTTTCCCTGAACAAGTAATGAGATTATGATTAATTTCTAAAGAAGAGACGGGGGAATGTTTAATGAATTGATCATTACACAAAAAATAGTTCAATATCACATTTGGCTGTATAACTGTTGTACAGTTATACTGCCCAATGTGTTAATAAATGTTTCACTGGCAGCTCTGAATCAAACAGTGATAACAAACTAATTATCAATCACACATAGAGGACTGTAGCATTTTTTTTTAATAAAAAAGTTACAGCTCATAACTTGAATCCCATGTGATTGCAGTGGAATTCTGTGAGAAATAAAAGTCAAAAGAGCCTTAAATAATGATCATGTAACTATTTTTCAGGCTTTTGCCTTCATTTCAAGCTTATAAAGTCCTTTATTGAAATACATTTTGTGTTTGTCTCTGTTTTAGGTTGCAGCCAGTGAGAAAAGTCACGGCGGTTCAGATGATGAAAGGATTCATTTTGATTCCACTATTTGTAACCACTTAGCCCTGATGTACTTCTTGAGGCAAGAAATATTAAGTAGTAACTGTAAATGCTCTAAATGTGTCACAACAGACTACATAGTTAGGGCCATTATTTGTCATTTTAGAAAGTATATCTCCTTACCCTCTTTATTTTTGAGCTAATCTGACAGTCGCATTAAGTTTGGAGGTGTTTCACTTCACTCTGTAGAAAGATGCCGACCTCTGCTCTCTATTTACGTCAGCATACATCTGAACTCTGTTCCACTAAATGACCAAAATATCAATGCCAGCTCATTATGCCCTTGTGGCAATAAAAGTGATTGAAACGCTTTAGTCCAATGATTTGGGAAGTTGAATAAATACTTTTGGCAGCATGGTAGCATCATGGTGGCCAACATTTTAGATGTTATCTCACTTTCTAAATTGAGATTATTGTGTTGATTATCTCCTGAGGAGGTCGTTTAGTTATTACTTTAGCTGTGTTGGATTATGGATCTAAAACACGAACAGAATACCAGCTCTTAAGGACTGGAAGAATGGAGTTGCCTGTCCCATGTTAACATACTCTCACCACTAGGATAACATTTTGAATAGATTGCCGTTACTTTTCAATAACATTTTATTTCATTTGACCACAAATTAGTTTTGTGATTAAATGCAACCAAGCAATGAACTCTTCACCCCTGTATCTTCTTAATGCATTCTGGATAATGTCTAGTATGCAGTAACATTTCACTTGTGTCTGTTTTATCACAAATTACCTTAACATGCTGATGTGCGAGGATTGTCACAGCCACAACATTCTGTCACCTTCTCTTTCTTACTATGTGGAAGTGAGAGGCATACGTTTGAGCAAAGCGTTCAACCAGCTCTGCTCTGCTGTCCAGTGTCCCATTAATGATTCGAACGGAGCTGTGAGTCTATAGTTGGCACTGATGAGCTACTTTCAGGCCCAGGAGTACATTAGTGCAACCCAGAGGCAGCAAGATCCATAGTTGCTGTGTACTGGACTGACAGATGATTGGAAGATTTTGTCTCTCATTACATCTTTTTTTCTCCCTTCTTTCCATCACTCCCTCCAGCTCTCTCCCTCTCTCTATCTGTCTCTCTCTCTTTCACTCATATGCTCCTAACTCTCTCTCTCTCTTTGTACTGTATAGTTAAAAGTATAGTTTTCCCCCCCCTACTTTTTCTGTTCTCATCTTGTTTGTCAGCTGTTGTTTCTGTGACACTGATTTCACCCAAGCTGCACATGTCACAAAGTCACAATGAGTTATAAACAAATTAAACAGATGTTCAGATTAATTAGAGACACTCAGCAGGAATTGCTATATTTTAGCATGAACAGCGTCATTCCCTGGCTCTCAACATGTCCACCCAATTCCAAATGTTCTGCCACAGCTTGAAACTACAGACATTTTCCAAGCCACTGATGTGTGCATAAGTGTGCATGCTGTTCACATGCTTACATCTTGCAGTGTGCAAGAGGTGATGAATAACGTGGATCTTCTTTAACGTGAGCTAAAAACGTCCAATGTTGGACACACGTGTTTGTGTGGTGATGGGAAATCGTGAGCAATTGAAGCCGAGCAGAAGTTTTCTTTTATTAGTGTGCATGCAAGCAAAGCTACTGCCAGGTCCCATCCACTGATCCTTTATCTCAGAAAAAGGTTGTGGGGGAATTATTTCCACTGGTGCTGCTCTCATCGGAAGCGCTTATCAACAAAGCTAACATTAGTAAAGCACTAAAAAATCATGGCCTGAAGGCGAGAGAGAAATAAAAGAGATCCCTGGGCATTTGGACAAGCAGCTCATAGTGATTTGGAAACACAAGGCCTTGTGTTTCTGGAAGTGTCAGATGATTATCTGGCAGACAGAGAGCCCAGATTCAAACATGCAGCTTGTTGTGAATGCCCCCTTCACCTACAACATCAGGATGCAATTTGCTGTCTGCTGCAGCTGTTAGCATTCATCTCTACGGCTACCACCACAAACGCTACAACTGCCATTCAAAGTAATTTTGGTCGGCAGCAATTACAAGAGTGAACACTCTCCTGCCAGTCAAATGTATTGATGAGGCCTTTTTTTTAACTTCACCGGGGTAAGAAACATGAAGAATCAAGAAACATACAAATAGAGTGGCACTCATTCACAAGTGTTAAACTGTTATGAATGATGGAGTCTGTGATAACCAGCCACGGTATCGCTTCATGAACAGCCTCAGCCCAGATCAGGAAAGCAGGGAGCAGATCTGTATTCAGCTGTGTGGTTTGGTGTGATTTGTTAGGGAGTGAGAGCGCCAGTGAGAGAAAGCGGTGTAGCTGCATGACCCCATCACTCAATAGAAATGATTTTTTCCCATAAATCAGACAAGGCAGAGAGGGAAAGAGAGCAAGCAAAAGACAGAGACTGAGTGATTCAGCTCTGGGATTACACTGGCTCAGACTTCAGCTGAAAAGGGAGGGAAACTAATCGTTTCCATTCACATCAATGAGTCTGGTTACTCCCGCCTGTATTCCTGAATGCGTTGAAATGCCCATATTCTTTCCACCGCTCACTCTGTCGTTCTCTTTTTCCATCATTCTCCCTCCCCTTTCACCCTCACATTTTTTTCCCTCTGTCTCCTGTTCTTTCTGAATGATCTAAGCACACCGTCATGTATTAGTGATAAAATTGCTATGATATTTACTCTGTCACGGAGAATTGGAAGTGACAGCATTTCATGGGCACCTGGACGTTTTCATAAATCCTCCCAATTAGGAGTGAGCTGCATAGACAAACTGGTTTGCCTGAGGTGTAAATGTGTTAACATTAATACAATACATTTTCTGCCTGTTCGAAAAGTTCTCAGTGACATAATTTAAGCTTTCACAAAAAAGTAAATAAAAATAAAAAATTGGTACAATTTTCAGGTGGCCAAAGCGGTCACATCCATCTGTTCAAACGATTGCATGCAATTGAAAACAAGAATTAAGGAAGGGCATTTTCTGCAGATGAACTCGAGAACGAATACCTTGATTTTTGGAGACATGTCCTGTTGGCTGATGAAACTAAAACAGAATTGTTTAGCTGTAGTAACCATAGTTACATTGGAGGAAAAAAGAGGGAAACTAGTAAAATGTCAAATGGTGACATTTTCCAGGTTTTGACAGATTTATTTTAGCTTCTTACTAACTGCTTTTCAGTTCTATAAATTTGTTTTCTAAATTATTTAAATTTTTTCTGGTGAAAATCACTGGATGTACACACTGCATGTTCAAACCCATGAGAAAAGTGTCTCACCTGTGGTGGTGATGTCACACACACTGACTTATTCAGGCAGTTGGCACCAATATGCAGTGTAGGTTTAATTACAAATGTACAACACACGCAAATGCTGCACTGTCTGTC